CTTAATTGGAAAATTAACAGAAAAATCTGGACAACCAATTGTTGAATTCTCAATCTCTCATAAAATTCTGTTGTCTCAAATTTAATAAAACTAGTATTCAAATAATATTGAATATTGACATATGTTATTTCAAAAAGTATTACAATAATAATAATTAATGAATAATTCAGATATATTCATACCTGATATACACATATTTTCTTAAAAATATGTTTAGAGCATCTCATTAAAATTATGCAATCCCAAATCTTGGATTAGAATTTGCGCTTCCAGAGTTGACATTTTTTTCCATTATTCACCGAAATTCTTTCTGGTACTCAGAATTATTGAGGAGAATACCGAGGCATTTTACGAGAACGTTTGCCACAGCAACAGAGAGGAAACATGTGAATGACGAGCCCATCCAGACTTTTCGTACAACCGAGAGCGATCCAGTGAATCACAGCAAAGATCATGTCAATAGATTCTACACGGTGCCTCCATCAGTTGTCCAGACAATCTTTCATCACGGAGGATTGCCCAAGAAGTTCCAAAATCAGACTGGCAGCTTCGTTGAGACCTGTCTACTGGTCAGAGAACCAGCCTTGGAAATTATTTCCTGTCTGAATGTAACAGACTACTCCAAACCAATCAACAGATACATTCTGTACGGCGAGAATGGAAGTGGAAAATCCCTGACCCTGGCACATATTTTACATTACGGATTATCCTCAAAGAACCTTCTAGTCCATATTCCTTGGGTCGCTGATTGGTTCAGAAAACCCAAAGAAGTGGCAGCATCAACAACGAAAGAGGGTTTCTACGATCTGCCTGTTGATGCAGCAGCTTGGCTAGTTCGTTTCAAGCATCAAAATCGTGCCCTTCTGCAGGAGCTCGACTTGAGATTAACCAAGACCTACGAATGGAGTATACGTGAGCACACACCCAGTGGAAGTCCTCTCCTGGCACTGATAGACCTAGGGGTGACTCGTATTAAATATGCCTGCGATATAATCGATGTTCTACTTGAGGAACTGAGAATCTCGTGCACCTCTGGTAAATGCAAAGTTCTGGTTGTTATCGATGGATTCAATTCCTTCCTGGGGGACGATACAGAGATCCGAGTGGAGAATCGACGAAAGGTTTATCCAGATAAAGTCACTCTCACCAATTCATTCTTAAATGCTGTTAGGAGCGACTGGTGCAATGGAGCTGTCGTCCTTAGTGTCGATCAACTTGCTGTTATTGTGAGTTTCTTTTCCTCTTCTTTTTATTACATTATTTTTCATAAAGTGACAATCATGAGGCAAATAATAATTAAAGTAAGGAAATAAACCCTTCTTTCATTAACCGAATTATTCATGAAAACAAAAATCCTGAAATTGAACGCTTGCTTATTTTTTAAACAATTATCTTTTTTATTTATTGGAATAATTTTTGTTGTTATTTTTTAGAAAGAAGCACACGAGTCAATTTATCCTCGTTACCTCCTGGGGAAAGAGGGCTTCGAGCTCCTAGATCCATTTTTACCAGTTCACGTGCAAGAGTATACAGCAGACGAATTCGAAACAACAATGGAATACTACAAAAACCGAAAATGGGTGAGGGAAATCACCCCTGAGGGTCAACGAGAATTGGAACTACTGTCCAACAGAAATCCCTACAGATTGATGCGATTAACAGCTTCATTATAATTCTAGATGCAGAACAATAATAATAACATGAATTTATAAATTATAAACGACTCCTTCAATTCTATGAATTATTATAATAATATTATGAAATCCCCAAACCCATAATTCAGACGCGTCGAATTATAATATCGACTCATTATAAAACTATTGCTTTCAGAGAAATATACCAGAATACTTTTTTGTGGGGCATTTAATTGGCCAGACAAAAAGTTTCTTGAAGTTTTCAGTTTGAATCGAAAGTTTTCGAGATAAATCGAGCGATCAAATGAGGTAAAGCGGAAAATTTGATTTATCTGATTCAATTACTTCGCTATTGTACGTTGGTATACTATAAATCAGTAGTTATTTAATTCCGCTGAGCTGGTTGAAGAGCGTCAAGTGCTTTGGAGATGTCGCCGTCTTTAGAAACGAGAAGATTTATCAGCCAATCGCTTTCATTGGAGAAACCCATCTGCAACATGGCTTCAACAGCACTGTGGATCCTTGGATTTGGGTGATAGATTATTTTCTCCTCGGGTTTCGGCAGCGGTGGGTAGATCGGTTGTGATTGTGCGTTCTCCTCGACAGTAGACGTTGTGGAAGTCATCTGGACCATACCGAAACGAATTTCACAATTAAATGACAAAACAATAATTCAAATTATAAAGAATAATCTATTATTTTTTGTAATTATTACAAATTACACAAAAACTCATTAATTTTAAATTCAACATACAATTATATAATTATAAAGGAATTAATGAATTACCGTGTTTGGAATGGCATCATTGCTTGGTCCACTCTTTGATATAATGGTCCAACCCACCGCCTCGTCTTTTTTCTTCTCCTCCTCTAGCTCCGAATTATCAATGGACGAAGGACCTGGAGTGTTTGCAGCTGAAGCAGTTGAGCTTTTGTTCCTGTCGTCGTTGACCTTCATCTGGAGATTGACATCAATCCCAAGAGGATTGAGGAATTGATAGAGATTCTCAGAAATCATCCTCA